CGTGCAAAAGTCCCTTCAAAATTTCATTTTTTTCTCCCTATTTTTGTAGTTAAAAACAATCAAATTAAAAGTTAATACAATTATAAAATTATATTTTAGCTCTCATAAAAAATTACAATTCAATTTCACCTCCCTGGGAAAAAAATACAGCTTCTCCCTTGACAGATAGGATCTTATAAAATCATTTTTTTTAACTTATGTTCAAGTTAGGTCAATTCAAATTTTTTATAAGATGCAGTCAGATCTAGTACGTGCTTAAGGTGAAAAATGCCTAACTCGAGACGACCCACGACAATAATATATTTAGAAATAATAACATTAATATCCATCTCTCACTATTTTTTTCAATTTTGTGTGCGTGCGTGTGTGTATGTATGTATGTGTACATATTCGGTCAATCGAGTATGATTTTTCCTTAAAATCATATTAGATTTTGGGTTGAGTGTATTCTCTCTAAACAGGGTCGGGTTGAGTGACAGGTGGAAGAGTTAGAATGCTTGAGTCAAATTAGAATTTACTAAAAACTCAAACTGATCCAACCGATGCTCATCCTTATTCCCACCAACTACTAATTAGTCTAGTAAGATATGACATTACGTCTCTTAAATAAGTTTAATAGTTCAAATTTTGACCAATTATTCATGTTAAGTATAATGAATTATTGATGCCGAAAATTGGTTGTCTTAATATGGCGTTAAGAGGTTCGATTAATTGTGTTCTAGGTACTTTTGGAAAGGAACAGATTCGGGTGCCACAGGTGCCAAAGTTAGTTTAAAACAACTTTGTTCGTTGAAGTCGGAAGGTGGCCTAGGATTGAAGGACACCAAAAGTTGAAACAGAGCTTGTATTCTTTTCCTTATTCGGAAAATTCTGGCTGATGATGGTTCATAATTGGTGACGTTGGTCAAAACTTATGTGTTTAGGGGGGGTCAATTTTTGGCAAGTTAATAGTAAGCCTTGCACTAGTTGTATTTTGCAGAAGATATTGGATCTTAAGGAGGAAGCTTGGGCTCTCTTTTCCCTGTTGTTGATGTCTGCGACATTAGCACTAGGTGGATTTGATCCTCAATTCGGCTTGAGGGTGAGAAGGTTGCGTGGCAGAAGACTTTATGGTTCCCTCTTCATATCCCCAAGTATGCTATCATTGGGTGGATGGCCATTCATGGGTGGCTTCCCACCAAGGATAAATTGTTGCAAATGTGAGTTGCGATTGATGACAAGTGTGTGTTTTGTAGTGGCCTTGAAACTCGAAACTACTTGTTTTTTTAGTGTGTTTTTTACAGGGGCATTTGGGAGGCTATTCTAGCTCGATGTAATCTTCGTAGGGCGGTAATAAGTTGGGAGGAGGAGTTTGTTTGGGCTACTGTCACCTTAAGGGTGCGTTTGGTTCATGGAATATAAGATTACCAGTGGGAATAAAAGATTACCCGGGAATAGGATTACTGGGAATGTTGTATTTTGTGTTTAGTTGATTTAGCAGGAATGTAAGATTACTGTGTTTGGTTAAATGAATAAAATATTATTGGAATGTATATTTGACAAAATTATCCTTATTATATATTTGTATAATATTATAAATTGTAAAATATTTATATATTTTCTTTAGAAAATTAAATTTATAATATTTATATATTTTTTTACAAAATTTAAAATATAAAAAAGATTTAATGAAAGGGTAAAAAAAAGTAATCCCTTAACTTCATGTAAAATTTTAATTATAGACTTTTTTTGTAAATCTAAAATAATTTAAGGATAAATTTGTAATTTAACCTTCGTAGAATTTTTATTATTCAATGACAGAAGAAGGATATTTTTGAAAAAAAATAAAAATTTAAGGGCATTTTAGTTCAAAACACCGGTAATGTTACAATACCTAAGGGAAGGGAGGTAATGGCATTCCCGGTAATATACCCCAAAAATCTACTATTGATAATAAAACATTACCGGGAATGAGATTCACGGCCAACCAAACATGAAAATCCCTCAATCCTTGAACCAAACACCCCTTAAGGGTAAGTCGTTGATTTCCTTTATCCTTAAGGTAGCTCAAAATACTCTAATATATTGTGTTTGGGAAGAGAGAAATGTCAAGCAATTTCATGGTGTGTCTAGAGATCATCTTGTTATCTTTGATATTATTTGTAATATTATTCGAGTTAAGCTTATATATAGGAAAATTGAAGGGAGGGATAGTGTAAATTGAGAGTTTTGTGAGAGCTAAGGCTGCTCATTGTAGGGTGTCCTGTTTTTGTTGGATATCTGTTTGTTTGTAGTAAGTTATCTGCTTCTTGTATAAATACACACATACTTATCCAAAAAAAAAAAAGTCTTTGTAATATCCGGCCTAAATTAATCTATAATAAATCAAATATAAAAAATTAAGCTTGAAAAATATAGGGAATCAGCCAGCTAGAAAGTCAATTAAATAACAAAACCCTAGCTAGCTATTATAGAGTTTGCCGCACCTACTGCTTTTTGCTATAGAGGTTTCTACAAAACTATCATCAATAGTGGGGAATATACTTCTTTTTTCTCATAGAAGCTGAAAGAGAGAAGTAGTAAATGTAAATCTCAATCACATTATTAGGTTTAAATCGAGTAAAAGCTCATCAGGTCTATTTCAATTGTGCTAAAATAATCATGCATTATACACAATAACATTATGGTAAAATTCTCTCTTTTTACCATTGGGTTGCAATCAAAGATGCATTGTGGTAAAATTCCCACAATTAACCATTCTTTTCTACACATTAATTCCTAATTAAGTTACTCCTTCGAGCAGGATAGAGAAGACAAGTGAACATTTCCACCATTTTTTATCCAATTTAATTTTATAAGATCGGTTTTTTATCCTAATTTAGTTTTAGGTTGGATCTGTTCTTAAAGGATGAGATCGGATCGAGTTTAGATTTAGCGTAGAAATATTTGATTTGAATCAATCAAAAAATAATAGTATAATTGACATTTATATATATATATATATATATATATATATATATATATATATATATATATGGAAAATCGCTATAATACTTCTCTCTGTATTTTTTCAATTGAATCCTTATTTTACCTAATAAAAATGAAAAATATATATTTATGTCGGATCATTCTGGTCAAGTGTAGCTTTTCACAAAAAAATTATCAAGTCGAGTCGAATATGAGCTTTTACTCATAACTACCCCTAATTGAAAATATAACTATCTCTAAATAAATTGATTTAGTGAGACAAGATATTAAATTTCTTAAATAAAATTAAAAATTCGAATCTTAATAATTATAAATAAAATAACCTTAACTAGAGAATTGCCCTTTACAAAATTCGGTCCAAATTAGTGAGAATCAATGGCTAAAAAGGATTATTAATGAATCAGATGTCGAACAGTCAACATATGTGAACGTTGACTGGGACCTGCCATCCCTATATTTTAATTCAATTATTATTTAACCAGTTATTTTTGTAATGTTATTAGTTAATCAGTCAGTTCAGTCGAATTTTTCATGTAAACTGACTTACTAATAAATAACTGACCAGATCAAAATCATTTGTCTAAAGCAATCAAAGCGAAGGGATATAACATGGGCGGATTATTTCAGTTACCGAAGTTTTTTTAAAAAAATGGATTTTCTTGCTACTGCCGGAATTTATTCCAATATGCATGATAAAAAACCCGACAATTCATCAAAACTAAGCATTGATACAAATAGAGAGATCCCAAATTCATCAAACCCATTTCCAAGTATCAAAAAATAAAAACTTAAATCAAAACCCTTCACTAAATTTCTGAACACAACCATAGAAACAGTCGACAAAGGTAACATGTTCTTTAAGGACATAAGATATAAAAATTAAAAAGGCTTCATCAAAGAAAAAAATGAACTAAAGAGAACATTACCTTAGAAACAAGATTGTTGAGAACCAGCGGCAAACAAAGGGATTGTCAAAACAAGGACTAAACCAAATCCCTAAAAAGAAAAGAGGGAAAGGGTCAAACAGAGTAGCCAAAGAAATATATCAAACAATGGAAAATTCAGCTCCAGCAAATTTCATAAAGGAAGAAGAGGGAAAAACCAATAACTGAGACGATTAAAAACAAAGTCCAAAAGGAAAGCATAGTTCAGATTACCTCGAGAAGGAGTGGGAAGATTAGATGTTGCTCATGAGCGAAGGTAAACGATAAAGAGAGAGGGAGAAAAAGGGTATTAGCGTGCGTCTGAATGATTAAGCGTAATTTTAGACTCTGAATCGGTCAGCAATTCCAAATCATTCAGAGAGAAGAAATTATGGGAATCAAACGCGCTGAATCGGTCTGATTCAGCATTCAGATCTGAATGATTCAATTAAGAGGTAAACAAACAGCCTCTTAGTTTTGAAACAAGGTGAATTAGATCCCATATCCCCATTTTTTGGGGTACAATTGTTTTTAGATCCCTCCTAAGTGAAAGTAGGCAAATTGAGCCTTGACCTACCATTTTTTTTGTTTAAATACTTTTTAGGTCTCTTTTGATTTCAAAATTAAATAAATTAAGTCTTGACCTCTTTATTTTTATTTTAAATTGACGATTTAATAATTAGGCTATTACCATCATTTTATTCTTATTTATGTTTACCTTTTCATCCTGACTTCTCTCTGGCCAAAATTAAACCAATAAAAAATGAACAAATGTGAAATTATAATTTTAGTCCCTATATTTTACTTTGATAGTATTTAATTCATTATTTTTGTAATGAAATTAGTTAATCCAGATATTCAACACCATCAATTGTTTTAGTTAAAGTATTGATGTGAATTTCTTAAAAACATCCATGCCAACGTGATGAATCAAAAGGGTAATAAAAAACTAAATTCGAAATTTGAGCAAAGTGAAGGGATCAGAACCAAATTTGAACAAAAAAGATAGTCTTGCAAAGTCATGTCGTTTGCCCTTAAAGGAGCCAACCAACCTTAACACCCCCCCCCCCCTTCCCCACCCCAAATTTTTTCACCAAGAGTGCCCACTGTTTCTCTTTTGCTACTTTTTTTTTCTGTGATCTCTCGAGTGTTAAATGAGTGTCTCTTTTTGATTAGCAGACAGACATGGGTAGCGCTCCATGCTGCGACAAAACAAACGTGAAGAGAGGGCCTTGGTCTCCTGAAGAAGACGCCGCTCTCAAAAGCTATGTTCAGACCCATGGCACTGGTGGTAACTGGATCTCTTTGCCCCTTAAAGCTGGTACCTAATCAACCCTCTTTTTCGTCCCTTAAAGCTAGGGTTTCCTGACAGCTTCTTTGTTGATATTATTACCAAGTTCCATGATCTTGGGTTCCCTTTTTTTTTTAAGGCCTAAAGAGATGTGGCAAGAGTTGCCGCCTGCGCTGGCTTAATTATCTCAGACCAGACATTAAACATGGAGGGTTTACCCAGGAGGAAGACGACATTATATGCAGTCTCTATACTCAAATGGGAAGCAGGCAAGTTGTTGTCTTGTTCATGTCTTTGTTTTGTTCAGGATAATCAAGGATAGATAAAAGAGGTTCGTCACCATCATGAAAATTTTAAGTTTTCATATGATTTAGATGTATTTTTACATATATTTATTAATAATACGTTTACGTTTAGTTAAATTTTAAAATTTTACCCTTTAAAACTTTATGAACTCACTAAACATAAAATCATGTTTTGGTCCAATAAAAAAAAAACTCAACTTGTGATTGGTTTTAGGTGGTCTCTCATAGCATCCCAACTCCCCGGAAGAACCGACAACGATGTGAAGAACTACTGGAACACCAAGTTGAAGAAGAAGCTACTCGCCGGAAAAACGACAAGCTTTAATACCGACAACAATGGCGGTTTCAGTTTCACCGATGCTGCTGCTGGTGTTGGCTATGGATTCTCTGTCAATAGTACCTCTCAAAGCTTGCCTTTAGACCCGGTCATGCGGTTTAATTCTCACCCGTCATGTCCGAATCTGGACAACAACATCGTCTTCGTCGCATCCCAAGAAGAATCCGCCGTGTCGGATTCCGCGGGTAATGGATATGTTGGAGATACGGACTGTGTTCTGGTCTATGCTTATCATCAACAACAGTTTAGCTAAGAGTTGTCTTATGAGTTCATCAATGGCGGCGAGATTGGTGTTCCGACTTCCGAGTTTAGCTGATTTATCTCATGCTGACATAAAGGTTACTCGAGGACTGAATCAAAGCGTCGTTGACCCATATTGAACGTGGAATCAAGTTTAAGCCCTGTGAAAGAAAGATATGATATTATATATTCACATGCTTTTGTATCTGTTAATTAAATATTAGGGTTTATGTAGATAAACAAAACGGATTACAATGACTTGTGTTGGATTCAAGTCAAGCAAGGTTAGCTTAAATTAATCTATGATGTTGATGTTTTACACTCTTTAATCTTTAAATATCTCTGAATGCAACACTTCAACTACAAGATTATATATATACAAAAGTAGTGACAAATTTAGAAATTTAAGTATGATATCCAAAATTTTTATTTTTATTTTTTTTAAATAATGGGTGTGCAATTTTTTCCCTTTTTTCCTTATCATATTAAGTTAAATTTAATTAATTTTCTAAAATAATGAATGCTCTTGACCCTTATGAGGGCTTAGTGCATATGTACATAAGAATGATCCTAAGTCGGGTTAAGTTGAGTTTTCTCTCACCCAAATACCATCTAAATATAACATCTCTTCACCCTTTAATCAAGTTTAGAAAAAAATTTACCCATTGAAAATCAATCTGAATTTTAAGATAAAAACCTACGCATAATCCTCTCTCTCTATATATATGGTTTGGGGGATTCCATCATCATGTCTGCCTGTTTTTTGGATGTCACGAAAGTTGCATGGCATAAAATCTCATCATGCATTTGCTGTAAACGTGTTATCTTCTTACAGTAACCATAAAATCTCTATTACAGTTTGTGGCAATCTCAAGGTGCCCTACCTGCCAGGATTCTTCCTTTAAGTATTCCACGCGTATTTGAATACAAATACAGAAAACCGTTTGTTATAAATGTACGTTCGTATAATATGTCCACGTATAGTACCGGCAACCCTTCTATTTCATTGATCATTGTTTCAAAACCACACTACCGAGTGAAAAAAATGTCAAATTGCTGTTTTAGTCACTTTACTACCCTCAAATTTAGGTCTAAACTCTCTACTTGATGAAATTTAGCCCCTCTTTATAATGTTGTTAGTAGTCTAAGTTTAATAAAAAACAACTTTAACCATTTATCCGACATACAAAATTTATTATTGTTTGAACATGATCAATTAATTTCATATAGATCGAGTGATCTCAATAGTAAAAGAAAAAATGTATTATTATCCCTAAAAATTTGTAGTGTCAGTCGATTACAAATGTGGATACCCTAGATCCTTGGGCATCCAGGTTTGGGTTCGGGTTCCAACTAATATAAATCATGTGTGATCTTACTAGCTAGTTTTCATTTTAGTTGTTGTATAATCTGATAGACTACATCTCAATTTTTGTATATATAATGTATTAAAACCCTAATTCGACCCCACATAAAAAAAGTCAAATCTACAACTCTAAATACATTCTAACCTTAAACCACAAACTTGCTCAAGTTTATTCATATAGTCAAACATAAATTAGAGTTTTGAACTCCCTTAATTTTATTAAATATAATTATTATGAATGATAAAATTATGTGTTCAGTCTTAAAAAATTATAATTCAATCTATTATAATTAAATTTTCTGAATTTGAACCGTCGTAAACCTTGTCTTTGCCTTCACAAGGGATGTTGAATTTTCTGAATTTGAACCGTCGTAAACCTTGTCTTTGCCTTCTTACCAAAGTGTTTAAAAAAGACAAACATTTCCGCCCATTGGATAGGCCACCATTGCTTCCCTTTCTTGCTTGGGGACATTAGATAATTTAATTTAGTGCTTAATTAGTTTATTATGTATTTAAAAAATGAAAAACGAAGGCCCCATGTTTCATGAAATTTGACTTTCAATCCCAATGACATTAGTATTATTCAATAAAATTATAGTTGTGGATGTCTGTGATGATGACGATTCATCTTTATAAATGCTTTAAACGACGAATTATATGATAAAATTATTATATTAATTTAGTCAGTGTTAGTCTAATTCTAAATCAGTGAAACGAATAAACGTTTTAAAAACACATGAACATAGAATTGTTCATTTAAACAAGCTGGTAATTAGATAAAAATATTTATGTTTATATAATTTCTAGATTTAATTTGTAACGTGTAAAATTTTTATTTATTACATAAAATAACGGACTTATTTAACAAAGGATATAACCATACTCTTCAAAAAAATTCAAGTACAACCCAATTTTGTATTTTTAAAATTTTTATATTTTTCGACAGAAAATTTTTTCAATCAGTCCAAATCCTGTCAGTTGATAAGAGAATTTTAATGTTTGTGCTTATTTTTCTTGGACATAGACCATTTCAAAAATCATGGTTTATTTTAAGTTCAAATTTCCCCATGAATTTTCCATGCACGTTCTTCATTTGGTTTCATTTTCTACTTCTAGAAGATTGCATTTTGGAAATATATTTGGAAGGGGTTTCCCATTATTCAAATAAATTAAGATAACATCTAAATTTCCATGTTCAGTAAGTTTAAACATAAATTGTATGTACTAATACATAAATAGAATCATTTTTTATCTTTAATTTCTTTTTAATAAATATACACTTTCGTATTTAAATTTAACTTCAAGATCTAATTTGATATCCAATTTTTTTATCCAATGAGATGTATGGATTTAATTTCAATGTTCAATTTGGTATATGATTTTTTGGTCCAATTAGTTACTTGAACATAATATTTTTGTTCATGTACCAATTTGATTTAAAAAGTTAAATTCAAATACATAATTAAATAAAAAAAAGTGTAAGTACCAATTAATATATGTGTTGTAATATTTTGTGTTAGAAAGATATTTTGTGTTGTAATTAAATAAAAAATATTTTAAATTTAAATTATTTTAACTTTATTCTAATTTTGAAATTATTGAATAAAATCGAAAAATAAATGAGTCTACCATAAGTAAAAGTAAAACGTCGGAAATAAAATTTGATTTTGACTTTTTAATTTGATGAAAAGGATCCTCATTTACACGACTTTAAATCCTTCTTATCATCTTTAACATAAAGGCCAACTTGGCTTCGACGTTTTCATCATAGCATCATATTCCGATACTCGATCCCGACGCCTAAACCGCTCCTCCTGTCTTCTTATTCGGAGTCCGATTCCATATTAGTATTTCTCATTGCCTTCAATCCTCTTGGTCTCTGCAAACGTTACATTTTAACCACTTCAAGTTCAGATAAAAACGCCCACTAAACTCGAAAAACGAGCATACACTGTTTAAAATACGATTGTCAAACTTAAGACTCGATGTTTGAATTAACCATTTGTATAAATCATGAACGAATTTGAACAACTATATATGACATTGATATCGTACATAGATTCGATCAGAGAAAAAATTCGAAAAAACAATAACGGTGATTTCAGCGAAAGTACAATTCTACTTATTTTGATACCTTCTTTGTCATCTTCTTCTCCCTGACCTCGTATCGTTCGAGGGTTAAATCGCATAGCCACGCCCCCGGACTTACTAGCTGTACAAAAATAATTTCGGAATTAGAATTTTATAAGGCTTAAATATAAATGTTAAACAATGGTTTACGTATTTCTTATCCAAAAACAACGACGCAGAATGTTCTTTTAGTGCCGCAGATGATTACATCAACAAGACTTAAACCATGAATTTTAAAATCACTACAAGACGATATAATAATACAATAATTTAAAAAAATAAAATTCATGTGGGAAGTTTTTTAAGGATATCAGGATTTTGTTGAGGGTGAAAAACTGAAGGTTTTCAACGTCATCTTAACATTGGGTGATGTTCCATTTGCCCCAATTTTTTAGATGAAAACTATATTGACCTGATGTAAATAATATTTACTATTTTCGTTCGGTAAGATATTAAGAAAATAAACATTATAATAGTTATCTTGAAATATATAAAGAAGAACGTTATAGTCATTATCTAGGTATGATCGAGCTGGGAATATTTTAAATTTAAATCCAACTCCGCCCCAACTGTGATTTCCTTCACAAAACACGCACTGACATTCTAAAATCCAAATTTGAGAAAATGATTTTATAAAATTAAATCAGATCAAAACTCTTCATGTATTTTTAACTGTATTGCCTTCACCTAAATTATGTGTGATCCAATGAGAATGTCTAAGGAAAGACGAACTAATATACTACTAAGAAACGACGTGACTGGAAATCAATAAGATATTTAACAAAATCGGTTAAGTGCTACCGGAAATGTTGACTGATAATAATGTTGTAAGTGAAAAACACGAAGAAATATTAAAAAATTTGGCAAATGACAAACTTTGCTTATCGGTAGGTATTGATAACGTGTACAGTAGTATCGATATATATATAGTAATATATAAGAAAGTGAAGAAAACTGGTTAAAAGTAGACATGTATCGATATCTTTATATGTATATGTATATATATAAAAAATAGCAATGCTTTAGTAATTTAAAAGAATTGCAATAAAAAAGACTATAAAGTATCGATACCTTACACACATATATCGATACATGACAATATAACAGGTTGAAATTTGATAAAACCAGTTTCAATTTGACAAAACCGGTAAAGAGCTACCAGAATTGTTGAAATTTGTATCGACACGTTTATAAGTAAATGTATCAAAGTATCGATACTTTAGGAATTTAAAAGAATTGCAATAATATCGGCTATAAAGTATTGATACCTTAAACACATGTATCGATACATGACAATATAATAGGTTTAAATTTGACAAAACCGGTAAAGATCTATTGGAATGGTTGAAATTTGTATTGATACGTTTAAAGTATATGTACCAAAGTATCGGTACTTTAGGAATTTAAAAGAATTGCAATAATAACGACTATAAAGTATCGATACCTTAGACACATGTATCGATACATGACAATATAACCAATTTAAATTTGACAAAATCGATTTCAATTTGACAAAACCGGTAAAGAGCTATCGAAATTATTGAAATTTGTATTGATACTTTTATAAGTATATGTACCAAAGTATTGATACTTTAGGAATTTAAAAGAATTGCAATAATAGAGACTATAAAGTATTGATACATTATACACATTTATCGATACATGACAATATAATATGTTTAAATTTGACAAAACCAGTTTAAATTTGACAAAACCGGTAAAGAGCTACTGGAATAGTTGAAATTTGTATCGATATGTTTATAATTATATGTACCAAAGTATCGATACTTTAGGAATTTAAAAGAATTGCAATAATAATGCCTATAAAGTATCAATACCTTAGACACATGTATCGATACATGACTATAACATGTTTAAATTTGACAAAACCAGTTTTAATTTGACAAACTGATAAAGAACTACTGGAATGGTTGAAATTTGTATCGATACTTTTATAAATATATGTACCAAAATATCGATACTTTAGGAATTTAAAAGAATTTCAATAATAGCGCCTATAAAGTATCGATACCTTAGACACGTGTATCGATACATGACAATATAACATGTTGAAATTTGACAAAACCAGTTTCAATTTGAGAAAACTGGTAAAGTGCTACTGGAATTGTTTAAAATATCGATATGTTTATAAGCATATGTACCATAGTATCGGTACTTAAGGAATTTAAAAGAAATGAAAAAAGAAAAACGTCTCGAAAGTATCGATACCTTACCAAAAGTATCGACACTTGGGGAATGATATCGATTAAATATAAATAACATAACCGATTAAAATATCAAAGGCATTGCTAACAGAGAATTTGAAGGGGCATTATGTTATGCGAAATAGATAGAAGACAGTCATAGTTTTTGAAATCGAAGTGTATTAGTTGATGCGAGATAGAAGCAAGGCGATTTTAAAAGTATAGTTGTTTGTTACTACAATTAAATCGAAAGGAATGTTGTCGAAACCCTAGTTTTTTAGTATTGTAGTATTCAAAAGTATGAGTTAGATTTTAAGGTTTGGGGTTTTCAAAGTAAAGAAAGATTTGGGACCTGTTATAGGTAGAAATTGATATTCTAGGTAGAAAATAAATATCGATACTTTTATATAATGTTATAGGTAGAAATTGATATTGTAGGTTGTATAAAGGTACCTATACTTGTATTAGATACTATTCTCATTCCTTTGAACGCAAGCGATTACTATAGGATTAGTTATCGAAACTTGTGTATTGAATAAACTGTATGTAACTTGTATTTGATATGATTTAATTTAATGATTGAATGTTCATAAACTGATATATGAAGGAAAAATGAAGTCAATGTATCTCGCAATTGTTCTTCGCGAAGATGACATTGAAATGGAGCCCGATAATATCAACAATGAAGAAAATCGAAAGCAACCACTGTGTGGATATATGCACTTCTAGTAAGTATCAATGTATTTGTGTAATTGTTGTTGAAATGATAATTGGATTAAAGTATTTAAGAACTTGAAATTGATTACAAATTTCAAATCTTGACAGTATGACTGAATGCCAGAGGATGAAGAAAGCTGGTATTTACAACACTGGTTCAGTATGTAAACTGAATCTAGAATGAGTATTATTTAGCGTTAATTTATTGATTAAGAAATATTTATGCATAATTTCAGGTGAAACATGAGGTGTTGGAGAAATGAAAGTCGATGAGTAATGCTGAGAAGGAACCATATGTGACACTATCCAAAAATGATAGAAAACAATATAAAGCTTGGAGAAAAACACATGAAAAGAATGTATTCATTAAACTTGTAAATACTGTGATAAATGAAATATAAAAACACTAACATTATATATTTTTAGCACATATAAGAAGTGTCGACAAGGTGTAGCATCAAAAGAATGAACGACATAATTGAATACTTGAAGCATAAGAACAAAGTACATGTGCTGAAAGAAATGAAGTTCGGATTTTTTATAGGAGTGAGTGATCAACCAATTTGGATGGAATTGTGTCGATCGTTGATGTAGGAATTTGATGTATAAAATTGTATAGTTCAATATGGTGAATATTCATTTCCTCTGGGGATCCCATGTGTTGTAGCCGTATTAGGTCCACAAGATAAATGCAATAATGTTGAAGAAGTAATTAAGACGAAGAACTGGAAAGCACTTCCCAACAAATATGATTTAAAGCCAAATGCGACATATTCTAGATTTGAGGAGGAAATTAAAAGTAATCGTTATGACGGGGATAACCTGAAAGCTCGGGTACTATTGTACCTTGTCGGAATCTTTCTTTGTCCAATGGGTGATACATCCCCTGACAAGAACAATATGAAGTTGATTTGCGACGAAGGTTTGAAAGGTGAATTCAATTGGGAAGAATATATCCATCAGAAATTGATTGATTCAATCATTAGCTTTCAGAAGGGCTGAAACCACACATACCTTAAAGGGTGCATAACAATCTTAGATGTAAATAAGTTGAAGGATGTGTTGGGTTAGAAAACTTTTAAGTATATTTATTATAGAAAATGATAAATTTCATTATAAATGCAGGTTATTTTGTTTGATTTTTGGTCTGATTGTGCAAGTGTGCCGACATTCTACAGGATCGGAGTGACACGCATCCGTGTATGAGGAAAGGAAGAAGTAGTTCGAGTGATAGCAAAATTGAAGTTGGAAAGACCGAGCAAGAAAGAAATGATAATAAAAGTAATTATATAATATTAAGGATTTAAAAAATTGTATTAATATTGTAATTTATTTTTTAAGGTTATTGGCAAGGAGGAGGAAGATAAGGAAGAAGAGAAGAAGAGAATGTAGTAGGGGATATTATGGTGAAGAGAGTGCAAGTAAATTTGATATTTTGATGTCTGAGTTGACGGATCTAAAAAAAGTCGTTTCTGATCGTTTGCAAAGACAATCCAGAATCGAAGAGGCGATTGAGAGCCTTAAGGGGAAGTGGGAGGAAATTGATAGAGTGGTGAAAGAATTGGTGAAATTGAGGGGTGATGAGAAAAGTATAAAAAAACGATGACGGGAAAATATAAGGGTTGAAATGAAAGATATGAAGAGTTACGCGGAGAAAAAAAATATGATGAATTAAAAAAATATGAAGAATAAAAGTTGGATGCAGTGAGGAGGAATGAGTTTAATGTTATGGGGACACTGGAGAATGTTATCGATTCTGAATTGGATTCAGAATGTCTTGCACCTAAAAAGAAGAAGCAGAAGGTAAGATGAATAAAAAAAATTGAATTTAATTTTGATTATTGTGTTGTGACTAATATTTGTAATCCAATTGTAGGTTAAAAAAGTCAAAATACCAAAAGAAATCGGTATATGGTGAAATGTGTGAATATGTATGTAATAGTGGGTTACCATTGAGGTAAGTAATATATATTGTTTTGTGAGTGATATTTAAATATTTATTTAAAAACATTAATTCAAATTTATTATATAGCAAAGTTGTAATCGAATTGGGAAAACAATTCGCCACAGTAGTCGACGTTGTGACGTTAAAACCAATAGAATGTGTTAGTGGTGTGGTAAGTAGAAAGTATACATTGTTAAAACCTAGAGAATATGTTAT